GCAGGAAGACCTTGGGGTCGACAGAGAGAAGTGGGGAAGGGAGGCAGGAGGAGGGAAGGGAAATCCACCCACCCAGGGAAGGGAGACCGTTTGAAGACAAGACCAAGAAGAGGGGAAAACACATCTGTCGCCTGCCCACACCGTGGAAAAGAAATTTCTGACAGAAAGAGAAGTCGCACACGCGTCCCCCGCCCCCCGGGGGCTGTCGGGGGGATGGCCAAGGAGAAGCGGGGACCGGAGCGGAATGCACGCCCCGAAGGAGAGCCAGGTCCCGGCGAGGAGCGAGCGGGCGGAGGGTGGGGAGACGAACGCGCGAGAGCGCGCACTCCCGCGGGGGGCGGCGGTCCCCAGCCTGCGGCCTGGGCTTCTGTGGGAAAGTTCAAGGGCCTCAAACTTGTGCGGGCGATTTCCACTCGGCCGCGGTCCCTGTTTACAGCCGGAGCTGCACCCTGCTGGGGGCTTGTCACCAGGCCACAGGGTCCGGTGAGCGGGAAGAATCAGCAAGGAATGGGGGGAGGGGGTCTCGTTAAGGAGAGGGGGCCTTAAGGGGGGCTGGGGGGGGGGCAAAGGAAAGGTGTAGGAGCATCTCTTTCCCTACCTCATTCTGGAGGGTCCCAGAGGCGCCCTGAGGGCCTGGAGCTGAAATGCACAAGGACTAAACAGCCCCGGAGCTGAGTCAAATTGTCATCGCAGTGGCTGCCGTGCCCATTGCCCCGGCTCTTTGCTTGTCTTTTCCTGGAGAACCATGACAGACATGCCTCCCACCTCTGCAGGCGAAGACCTTAGTCCCACCAGCCCATTTGAGGGGAGGTCCCAGTAGACTCCCCAGAGAAATTTTGCCTGGTGGCCAAAACAGCTGTCCTCCCTTTCCCAAGAGCTAGGATTCAAGCAGAGATGGATCCCTGAGAGAAAGAGAGGGGTGTGGTGGATTGAAAGGGACAAGAAGAGAAGCCGGAAGAGGGGGGGAAGGTGGAGGAAGAGAAAGGGGGAGCCCTCTCACTCTCCACTCATGTTCCTAAGGTCCAGACCGGCACAGGTGGTGTGAGACTTCACGTGAGGGCTGCAGGAGTTGGCACTCTGTCTTTCCTTACCCAGGAGGATCCCATGGGTGAGGACAGGTAGTCTGCGTTGTCAGTTCTGTGCCCTCTGCACCTCACCTACCCTGGCAGCTGGTGGAGACTCCGGAAACAAGCCTGGAAGAAAACGAAACCCTCACAAATCTAAGAGCTCCCGAACCTTTCCTCCAGGTTGGGAGCCTGGAAGGAAGTGAAAGCTACCTCCGTGGCTAGGTGCCATTCACCCTAGAACAGATTGTCTGATGGGGGCGGGGTTTACTCAGTGAGTACACAGGAGTCTGACACCGCCCCCCCCCCTCAGTATGGTCAGTCCTACAAACGATTGAAAGTCAAGCCTTTAGCCTTGATGTTTAAAAAACGCTCCAGCTTGGGGAAATGTGCAAGGTGTTTGGGGCAGGGGATGGAATAATGCCTGCACATCAGTTTTTCTGTGGCTGACAGGTTTTTGGAAACTATCGAAGATCTGGGTTTCCTGAACCAGAGTTTTGCAGGTTGTGTTTCGTCTTGTTTGTTTTGTTTTGTTTGTTTTCCCTGCTCAAGCATCAGAATGCAATACAAGCCTTGACTGTGGAGGCCCTCTTGAGCCCCTGCGGCCCAGAGAGGTCTACATCTAGAGCCAGGGGACCCCACAACCCTACTTCTCAAGGAAGAAGAAACATGAAATCGTCCGGGAAGATGTTTCCCAGCTTTAGAAAATTAACCTTCAGAATCTCTCAGGAGACTTCAATAACCCCCAAACAAAACCTCCAGTTCCCACTACCTCAACCCCCACCGCCCCCCCCCACACACAGTGCAATTATCAGCTGCCACGGGGACCCTGAACCCATTAGCCCAGGATCAGGAACCATCACACACTACAATATTTGGGTTTCTTTTTCTTCTTAATGAAAAAGTTTAAAGAGCTGGGGTTCCAGAAGGCTGCTGGCTTTCCTGGCTGGGAACCTCCTTTGGAGAAAAGTGTCCATACTCACCCTCCTCCACTATCAAAACAAACAACAAACGTGCCCACAAACAAGAGTCTCCTACACGGTCCATTCTTACTGGCAGGGGAGAGTTATACCTGCCAACTGTCTGTCCCCTCCCCATCCCAGGAGGCCTGGTGGGCGTCACAGTCCCAGGTACCCAAGAAGAGTCCCCTCAGACTCACCTTCCATTGCCTTTCTTGCCTCTCCTGCTACCAGGAACAACTAATTAGAACAATATGGTGTCCTTTCAGATGCAACAACAAATATTGATTTTGGTTCCTATCCCATGTGAATGAGTTGTGGCTGTTGCCCACTGCCTTTTGCTGTAGGCAGAGGAGATGGAGAAGCAGACTGGAACGGTAGGGTTGCTTCTCAGCACACACAGTCTGCCTCCCTCCTCACCACCCTGCAAGCCTCTGTTGTACCCAGCAGAGGAAAAGAGCCCCGTGCTCAAAACACACTCCTCTCCTCCCTGTCTTCTCTATCTTCAGCCAGACCAGGCAAGGTAGCATCTTGGATGGCCCTGGTCCAGGCCTGGGCCCAACACTGTACTCTTCAAAGGGGCTTTGTACTGGGTCCATGGCTTCAAAGAAAAGACCTTGGTTTAATAATTCAGCCTTCTTGACTGCCATTTAGTAGCCATGGCAACCAGTTCCATGACATCCAGTTGCAAACAGTATGTGGTTGGAAGGGGAAAGAGAAGGGAGAGAAAGAGGGAAAGGGCAAGGGGAACCGCATCCGGCTCAGCTTTCCTCTAAACTTTCTCTTCTGGCTCTTCCTTTGGTGATCCCGACCATGCGTGCCATGGCAGTGAAGCTGTGTTCGAGCCTTCCTCTAGCCCTCCTCCCTCTATCTCTGAGTCCCTCCCTCCTCATCTTGGCTGTCTCTTCCACTCTCACACCTACTCAGAGCCAGGACTTGTCCATTCTTCACTCAACATGCCAACTGAACACATGGTGGGTCTGGCAGATTCCTTAGCTTTTCTCTCTTTCTCCGTTTTCTCATCTGTAAAATGAGGAGGCCTGTGGATGTTCCGAGCCCTGGCAGTGTAATGGTTATACATCTGGGCTGCTAACTGCGAGGTCAGCAGTTTGAAACCACCAGCCACTCCGAGAGAGAAAGAGGAGGCTTTCTACTCCCATAAAGTTTGGCTTCTCAGAAACCCACAGGAGTGGTCCTGTCGTGTCCTACAGGACCACTGTGATCAGAATGGACTCGATGGCCGTGAGTTTGGCTTCCGGATGGTTTCCTTTCGCTCGGAGAAGCTGCCACTCAATGGCCCCCTCTGTCGGTGTCATCTCTCCACCGTTCACCCTTCTTCCCTATTCAGCTCCGTCTCTAGCTCGCCCTCCCTCTCCCTCCCCCTTGGCTTCTCTGGGTATCTCTGTTCCTGTCTCTTTCTCACTCATATATATCATTTGCCGTTAGGTCTTACCTGGGGGACAGTCTCCCTTGAGCTTAGTTTTATGGATAAATGCACCATCTGAACTTACTGGCAAGCATTCCTTCACACACACACCCCTTGGCCCATCCAACTTCCTCTGATTGCAGGTCAGATATCAATTCTCCCAAGAAGAAATATCCCTGCCTTTGAAGGCAGACGGGTCTTCATAAGCTTCCAGAGTGCCTCTGTAACTCTAGGTGAAAAAGAACATCTCCTCCCCAAGCTGCTGTTGGTGAGGAGGTGAGCCAAGGGCAAACCATCTGAAATGAAAATACCTTCAGAAGGACTGGCAACAGACACCAGCAAGAATGGGGGGAGTTAGGGTTTGCCTCCAGCCACCATTTGGGCAAAAGCAAAAGGTAACTCCAGTCACGGGGCTTCCCTCCCAGATGTTTAAGTTCCAAGCAACTCCCAGATAGCAAAATATCTCCCTGCATTTTAGGCCAGTTCTTAGGATTTGGGTCATGAGGAAAACAGACAGAGGCTGAGATGCTGCTGCCAGAGGCATGCGGACCTTCAGCTGGTTGTAGGCAGGGTTTCAGGCCTTGCTGGGCCATGCTGATGTGGACTTCGGTCATCTCAGAAGCCACCCTTTTAGAAGAAGAAAGAAAATATTCTTTTGATGGAAAAAGGAGACATATCCATTTAAGAATCTTTGGCTGTAAGAGCTCCTAGGTAGTGAAAACAATTATGTATTTGACAATAACGGAAATGTTGATGACTTAAATCTACCCCGAGATCCCTGAGAATCAAGACTTAGTGGTCTTCTGAAAGATTGACATGAGTTGGGAGCAACTTGATGGCAACTAATTTACTTCTTTGCTTGTCTGTTTCTTTGGGACGGCAGAGGAGCGCACAGTGGGGCTAACTATAAATGTGAATGAGAGGCAACAATTAAAAAGATAGTGATTTCCTTCTATCATTACAAATTCTCTTTCATTTGCATATTACATCAAGAAGGACAGGTAGAGCTGATGATTATACATACACAGGAGTCTTCCTATGAAGGGTTCTCCCTATGAGTCTTGCTAAAAAGGATTGATGAACCTATAGAGATAGCAAGTAGAATCAGGGCTCCTGGGGAGGACGGCATGGGGAAAGAGGTAAAGGGGAGCTGATATCAAGGAGTTCAAGAAGGAAGAGAATGTTTGGGAACTGATTGTGGTAGCATTTTTACAGTACTGCTTGATGTGCTTGAACTATGGAATGATATGATATCTGTATTATCTCCCAATAAAATACTTTTGTTTCTGTTTTTGAGGAGGGGGGAGGTATTGCTACAACATTGTGGAAACCCTTATTAAAGAAAAATACCAAAATGTGAAGTTATTGTTTCTCAGCATATCCTCCATCTGAGCTTATACACTTCTGAAGGCAATATTTTAATCTCAACCCTTCCCACAAAGTATTCCACATCCCATGAAAATGGAAGTTTGGGCATTATTAAGGGGCTCAGATCTTGTTCCTGTTAAATGTGCTTTGAGTTTAGGGAACAAAAAGATGTCTGCAGGCACGGGATCAGGGTGGTAGGGTGAATGGATTAACATTTCCCAAGGAAATCCTTACAGGATAGTTCTTGCTGTCCTCAAAAGAATGAGCAGGGGCACTGTGATGATGGGTAAAAAAAAATTCTCAGCCCAAGTTTCCTGGCCATTTTTCTCACCAATGCAGTTTTTGGATTTCTTGAAATTTCTTCATAGTAAGCCCCCGTGATTATCCTGTGTCTTTTGAGAAAACCTATCAAGATTACCCTTTGGAATCCCTAAAAAAGTGTTGCCATTGTCATCTGAGCTGACCTCTCTGTCTTCAAT